TTTATTTATTTTTGACATTTTTACCCCGCCCTCCCCGCAAGTGGGCTCAGGGCGGCTTACAAGGGGCAGAGCCCACGTAAAACATAATAAAAGCAATAAAACCATTAGATAACACAGATTAAAAATAAAGTGCTCCGTGAAAACATGATGGTCCCCGAATAAATCTCATGATGGTAACAGTCAGTTCTTTGGGGGTGATCTTGTCCTGTAGTTGGTCCCAAGTAAGTCCGGTGGTACCAGTGCCACGTGGTGTTGTAGGGGATCTTCCTGGGGCCATCCCTAGCCCCGTTGTTATCCACACCATTGGTGGTGGTGGCAGTGGCGGCCCCTATGCGAAAGCCTGGCGGAAGAGCTCCATGTTGCAGGCCCTGCAGAACTGCATAAGGTCCCGCAGGGCCCTGATCTCATCTGGGAGCTCATTCCACCAGGTAGGGGCCACCACCAAGAAGGATCTGGCCCTGGTCGCAGTGAGCCTTGCCTCCCGGGGGCCTGGAATCAACTAACTAACTCCCTGTTTTACCTGACTATCTAACTCCATTTTGATCACTGTTTTGCTATTCTTGTAAAGAGTGCTTTGGAGATGTCATGGATTTGATTTCATTTTAGATCATTCTTGATGTGTGATATTTGTCAGCTGTCTAGCTATGTTTTACAATCCTAGATATAAATACAACACAAGTACCCCAAGTCTGCTACATCTGCTATTTGAGAGGAGGCTATACTAAGAAGAGCCTCTTGTGGATTAAAGTACTTGGATGATAAGCTATTTTTTTCTGACAATACATACCACCTGCTGATTCCTCTATTTTAACGTGTTTGAACAGTTTGCTAGGGGCAGCAAATGGAACATTAAGTATCATCCATGCATGATGTATTGGTTTAAAAGCCCCCATTAATGTGTCAAATATGAAGGAAATGATTTCACACATATGGCTGACATACTGTATCTAGAAACCTTCTGCTTATCTAGTTTCTTGGAAGCACTGAAGTCAGTGTGGTTATGCTGGATTTATATACCCATATAAGAGGAAGCACCAGACTGTAGACTTTGTCCAGATCATCAGTAATTCATTTACAGTAAGTTAGTAATAGACGATGTTTCCACTACAGATCTGAAACATGAGACAAAATCTTCTCCCCCCCCCTCATATGAAACATCTGGTATAACTTACTGTCTTTATAGATGCCATATCTTCCAGATAGTCAGAGCAAAATCTGTTATAGACTCTATACCCCTTTTGTTTCTAAATTATACTTAAGTGGATTTGTGTATATGCAACTATCCCTCTTCTACACATTTGAAAACATTATCCTAGCATTCTGGGGGATGATTATCTGGAGAATGGGGATGAACATCTGGTTTGACTCCCCACTCCTCCGTGTGAAGCCTGCTGGGTGACTTTGGACCAGTCACAGTTCTCTCAAACTCTCTCAGCCCCACCTACCTCACAAGGGGCCTGTTGTGGGGAGACGATGGGAAGGCAATTGTAAACCACTGTAAGATAGAGAAAAGTGGGGTAGAAAACCCTTATTATGGAGTACCAGGTTGGGTCTGTGGTCTCTACCCTGTGTCAGATATGACACTACCCCTGTTCTTCAACGAAAGTGAATGCATGTTCAATCCAAGTATAAGGTATTCTTGATTTTTCTTCTTACATGAGTTAAGTAATTCTCATGTTACATTCAACATGTAACCCCACATGTATTCAAGTATTGGTCCCTGGTTTCATTTTTGTAAGTGGACACACATTGGCTATTTCTTACAAATAGATTTATGTGCATACCTGCATGACTTGGCTCAGGGGATGTGTGTGGAGAAAGGGCCCTGTTCCATTTTCCCAACCTGAAACAGTTCCAAGGGACACTATGTGGGAAAATCCATGTGTTCCCTGAGATAGATGTAAGTTTTCCTCTCAGGCTAAAGAATGCCACCCAGGAATATTTCAGGTTGGGAAAATGTTGCAGGTGCCCTTCTCCATACATGCTATGTTACTGTTCCAAATTGGGTACCACATGTGCAGGAACCGAGGAGAACCCACAACTCAATCTGACTGTGATGATAACTAGCATTCATATAGAGCTTTTATTGTTCAAAGCACTTCATATTATTGTGCACAGTAAGGTAGGCCAATATTATTGTCTTTATACGGGCAATTGTGAACTGAGAGAGAGAGAGGATTCACAGCAGACATGAGATTTGCTGTCAAAGGCTTTAGTTGCTGTAGATTTTCTGGGTTGTTTGGCCATGGTCTTGGCATTATAGAACCTGACTGGCATCCTCAGAGGTATAACACAGAAAGATGGAGTCCTCTCTGTGTCAAGGTGAGAAGAAAAATGGTAGCCAGGTAATTTATATCTACTCAAGAAGGTGGGGTAGGGCTGAGTCATTATCTTGTAGGAGTTCCCCCAGGCTATGAACATGCTAATGGAGGAGCTTTCCTGAGGAGGTTCTTTTGTAGATTGTACATGAGATTGTCCAGCTCACAGCCCATTTGCTTAGACACTGCACTGTTTCATCTCCCAGCCAGGGGAAAACTTGTTTGTCCAGGCAGTCAGTTCCTAAGTTTAAAGAAACTTTTAAAAGGTCGGTTGTTTAGAAGTCAAGCAGAACTCACCTGAGCATTTTTTAAAATCGCAGGGCAATGAACAGAGAGAAACAGTGTTGAATACTTGTAGATACACTGGGCCACAGCTGCATGTGTGTATGCACTCAGCTATAAACTTCAGCAAGACTATTTCATCTGCTGATGTAGAAAAAGTGCAGCTTGTTACCTTAAGAGTGTTAAAATGATGCCCTGAACTGGATAGCCCAGGCAAGCTTGATCTCATCAGATCTCAGAAGCTAAGCAGGACCGACTCTGGCAAGTACTTGTAATGGAGATCTCCAAGGAATACCAGAGCTGGGATGCAGAGGCAGGCTACATAAGCCACCTCTCTGAAAAATATCCACGCCCCCATTAGGGGTCATCAGAAGTCACCATGACTTCCAGACAAGCACACAAAACAAATGCACGCACGTGCACACGCACACACACAATAGTGTTAAAATGATGAGTGTATTAATATACCAATGTTTTACAATAAAGTAATTAAAATTCCCTGGGAGTTACAGAACTTGTGAAATGGACTAGTCCACATTCTGATTAGGGATGTGCATTTGAATATTAACACATCAAGGATGTAAATACATTTTTGTTAATGGTCTTATTAAACTGAATTTGAATAGGGGAAATAATGATATTTGGTAACAGGATTGCTAATTGCATCCTGAGAAATCCCTGGAGATTTGGGGGCAATGCCTGGGAAAGGTGGAGTTGTGGGGGGGGGAGTTCAATGGGGTTGGAATGGCACAGAGGTCATCCTACAAAGCTATCACTTCTTTCAGGGCAACCCTACTTAGTAATATTAATTTCTTTGGGGATCTATTGGTTATTCTACTGCATGGATGTATGGTTTAGGGTCCCTAGAGGTCATAGGGAATGGGAGAACAGGAAAAGAGTAATCACTAGATAATGTAACTAACAGTCATAGAGCTAAACATGTTGCGACAAAGAGCATTGTTCTAATAGGTGTGTCTCCAAAGTGCTCATCAGAGAAGTGCTATGGACATTTTCCTGGGAGTAAGCACCACTGAGTAACATGGGACTCACTTTGACTCTATAAAAGTATTACTGTTTGGTTCTTCTTCTCTAGTGCTGCTTGCTAGCCACAGGGGCACATGTTTTGTTTGTATCCCTGGACCACTTACAATTAGGGTTGCCAAGTGGCACCTACCTTGCCGGCGGGGGACTCCTGTGCGGATCCTGGCGCGTGCATGCACGCGCAAAGCGCGCGCACACCACATGCACATCACAGGAAAGTGATGTCATGATGCCAGGCATGCTGGGGGCGGGGCCACGACCATACAAAGGAAAACCATAGAGTTTTCCCTTGTATGGCTGTGGCCCCGCCCCCAGCATACCTGGCATCATAACGTCACTTCCCTGTGACGTGCACGCTGGGGCGGGGTTTCCCCCCGGGGCCCGATTCCCCGGCGTCGGTGAACAGGCCTCTGGGGCGGGGGGGGGTTCGTCCCCCGGGAGGACTTGGCAGCCCTACATACAATGCTGCAGACTGAGAAAAGGAATAGAAGCAAACATTTTGTTCTTATAAAAACATTTGAAAGTTGTGCAGACCTTTTGCTCATGTTTTCAGCTAGGACAATTAGCATAGCGATTTGAGTGCCTGTATTAGTTACCTGAATTTCTGACCATCTATAAATGCTTAGCAACAGCTGGTCTGTAGTCATTCTAAATGCCAAATTAGACATGACCAGTGTCTTTGTGGCCTCTATGGGGATGCTGCCTCCATTTCAGAGTGATTTAAAAATGCCCCGAGGCTATGGTGCTCTTGCCCCCAGTGCGCCTTATCAAGTACCAAAAACAGTGGGAACCTTCCCATTGCTGTTTTGACACTTTTAAAAGTGCATGGGGAAAACCAGAGTGCCATGCTGTGGGCCTGATCAGGATCAAGCCCTTGCAGCATCACTTGAAAATTATGTTGTCATCCTAGTGGCAGCCACAAGGATACCATCATACTTGGTTTGGCCTTTTAATATATACCTTGTGAAATGTTTTTAGACAAGGTTTGTGATTGTGAAGTCATTGCATATACTAAATTTTAAATTTGTTCTGGCACAAGATCTGTGGAAAAGTTAGCATGGTACATAATGTCTTATTATAAGCCACATAGGGATTTAGTTCTATGAAAGGTGCAAAGGGGGCTTTTTTAACAGCCTTACGTAGTTTCAACGTCATTAATTGCAGCAACTGTATTCTTGCTAGTCTACTTCAAAATTTTGTTGATCAAGGCCTGAGGTAAAGTAGAGCTGCTTATGCCAGAAAGAACTAAAAGATACGTGAGATACATATACAGTGTTAACACAGATAAAAATATATTTAGATCATGTTTGTCAAAATATGTGGTGGCTAAATTACAGCAGTACAATACTTCTTTTTCAGAACCAGTAAGAAAAAAGGCTTCTTCTCCAGCTGAAAAGAAAGAAGGTAAATTTGTGTATGATTTTCTTCCTTCATTTGGATTACACAGAAGAAATATCTCTATTTAAATATATTAAAAAGCCCGATCTTAATATTTAGCCATCCTCTAACATGACCAGCAAATAGAATCTTGGATGAGGATATACAAATGAAATAGTGGGGCTTTATAGAAAGAAGAAGACTTGAATCTTAGTAGCTAGGATTAGCCAAGGAGGAGAGCAGATTTACCATTATTCCAATGGTTGCAGTTCATTTTTGTGAGGAATTGTAACAGTGGGCACTGTTTCTTGGTTTGGCACAATATTCTGAGACTGTCACTTAAATAACATGATCTGTGCATTTCTTCATTGAACAGTGATCAAGTTCTCCATCTGGGACCTAATTTCCTTTATTTTAAATACATTAAATGGCTGTTGTGTGCATATGTGAGCTTAGTTAAAGTCTTTAGATCTTCTAGTGAGCAATACTTGTACAGCAGTGTTGCCTATAAATGAGGGTGGAGAGGTAATTTCTTAACCATCAGAAAACTTTTCAAACATGCCAGGAACTAGGAAATGCAGAGAAGGACTTTGTTGGGGAGTGGAAACCCCACAGCCATGACTGGCAGCAGTTGTGGGAGTGGGGAAGGATGGCTACCTTTCAGGATGATGCAACAATAACCTGCCCCTGCTGTCTGCCAGACAGCTGAGCAGGAGCAACGAGGGGACATGGTGAGCTGTGACCTGCTGGGAAGCAGCCACCCCCATCTGCACCCTTGGGGGAGGAACTTCCTGGAAGACTGAAAGTCTGTATAGGTACAGAGCTGCCTTCACAAGGGGCTGAGAGCTAGCTAGTGGGAAAACATCAGCTCCTCGCTCTTCACCTTACAGGATGAGGGCAGTAAAGAGCAAGCAAAATGGCTCAGAGTGCCTTACCAGCTCTCTTGCCTGACATTCTGAGACCATTGGACTCCCTCACACTGAGCAGGACACCCCCACACACACACTCAGAGACTTGCTAAAGTGTGTTGATATACTCACACCATTTCATAAAATAGCAAGTACAACCTACTATTACATACTCCAAACAGCTTTTAAAAATATGTTTTGATTTGTTCTAGAAAAAGAATGGGCTCTTGTCCAACATCTACATTTATTGAAAATGTTGTAGATTAGCCAATTATATTTCAATATTGGCCTGTTTCTCAATGTAGGTAGACACTTGCACCCAAAAGCTTATACCTTGAATAAAATTTTGTTGGTCTTAAAGGTGCCATTGGATTCAAATGTTGCTCTTTTTTTCAGCGTTAGGTATGTTGAGGAGGGAAGTAGCCAAAGAACTCCCAGAAGTACCTGTGCAGGGATTTTAGAGGTTAGGAAGGCAGGGAGTAATAAGGAAGGCAGAGACTTTTGCTGCAGCCCACTACAACTTTAGAAGCAGTACATAGAGTTCCTACAGAGGTTCAGGAAAAACCTAGGCTTTCTCCATGGCCTACTTGATGTCCCACTCTCCTGAATCCTTGTTCACCATATGTTCACATCCTTATTTAGCATGCATAACTCTACTTGGAACTACGTGGGAGATTGGGGAGGTGGGGACTTATGGGGGGGGGGGTGCAATCAGCATTCCTGGTGTGAAGAAGGCAACTTAAAGCATGACCTGGAAGTGATGTTATCACTTTGGGGGCAGTGCTGTAGCATTCTGGGTTCCCAGCAAGGTAAGTAGATTTCTACAAGAAAAGCCACTTAAAGGGTTTTAAAGGGGGATTATATATAATTATTGCTTTAAAAAGCAATTATGAAGCCAGAATGCCAGCAGAGGGTTGGAGGCTATCCAGTGTAGGGTTGCCAAGTCTATCTTTGCCGGGAGCGGGGGGCTCCAGGCCAGTGTGTTGTGCATGCGTGCGCAAAGCGTGTGTGCACCGCACACACATCACCCGGAAGTGACGGGAGGACACCAGGCACACTGGGGGCGGGGCCACGGCCATACAAGGGAAAACCATAGAGTTTTCCCTTGTATGGCCATGGCCCTGCCCC